TGCCTACCACTATGCCCAGCTAATTGTTTAGTTTTTGTAGAGATGGGGTCTCACTATGTTGCCCTAGCTGGTCTCAAACTCGTGGGCTCAAGCAATCCTCCTGCCTTAGCCTCCCAAGTGCTGGGATTACAGGCCACTTGTTCTTATATGTGCACATGGACTATCATATAATAAATATAAAAGTATTAATGAGATATTCTACATTCTCTGTGTGCATGTGTGTGTACCAAGTCTTTGAAATCTGATATGTTTTATACTTACAGTCATCTCAGTTCAGTCTAACTCATTTCAATCACTCTATAGCCACCTAAGCTGCTGGTTCTCAGAGTGGATAACATGGTTCTAGATGACATGGTTTCTGTCTGATGACATGCCAGACTATGCAGTGGCTTGGCCATCCCCCATTTCAAAGAATGGAGAAACCGAGGCCCAGAGAGGAAAAGCAGCTTTTCTGAGGTCACACAGCAAGGCAAGCTGCACAAAGTGCTTAATGTGACTTCTCAGAGGCCAGGGTCTCTGCCCTTTTCTACCGTGCTTATGCCCAAATCCTTTTGCTACCCAAACTGTAACCTCCATAATCCTGATGCCTGATGACCACCATCTTTCCAGCACACCCCCACTGAAGGCCACCTCCAACATGTCCTGACCTCACAGGGGATTCCAGTGTCTTGGCTGCTTCCTATCCTTCACTTCTTCACTTCCCACCTCAATCTACCATTTCTAAGACCCAGACGTCTGAGTCTCCTTGCTTATACCCTTGCTGTATATTTCCCCCCTTCCTCCCTTAGAGGTGCCTTGAGAAAACTCATCTGACCCTCCCCATTCCTCTGTCCTTTTCTGGGGCTGCAAACTGCTGGGGGACCACGATGATGGTGAGTTTGCTGCACCGACCTGGCTGGTCTATGGCACTCAGCTAGATATTCAACAGCACACTACCTAGTTGTTGCTATGATATATGGTGAACATTGACAATCAGCTGACTTTAAGGAGACTCCTCAATAATCTGAGTGGACCCCATCTAAATCAGTTGAGGACTCTGAGAGCAAAAACAGGATTCTGGAGAAGAAGAAATTCTGCTTCAAGATGAGGGCATCAGCCCCTGCCCGAGTTCCAGCCTGCCCTATGCACTTTGGACTTTGCCAGCCTCCACAACTAGTGAATCAAATCCTTAAAATAAGTCTCCTCTTGATTCTGTTTCTCTGGAGAACCCTGGGTGACACCATAGCCCTCTTCTCTGCTGACTTTTTCACTTTGAATTCCTGCCCAATCCCCTCTAGAGAGCCATTGGTGCCACTCAGAAATGCCTTTGCTTTCTCACTGTCTCTTTTCTGTCTTCAGCCTCCATATCCCTTCCTTATCCTGCCCTGACCACCTGTAACAAAAAAACACCCAAACTCCATCAAAGTCAGTACCCCCTTAACCCTTCTTTGTTTTTGCCCCCCACCAAGCCTCAGTGACTGACTCATTTTGTTTGGCATCTGTTTCTGTAAGCTCCAAGGAGGCGGGGACGTGGCTTAGTTCCAAGCTTAGAATAGTGCTGGTGCATAGTAGGGACTCAACGAATAACAGTTGAAAGTATTGCTGAAGGCATGAGCTCATTAAGTTACCCATTTTCCTTCTCAAGTGGGCACTCGTATTAAACCTCATTTTACAGATGAGGAACCTGAGACTCAGATTTAAGACACGTGTTCACATCTGCAGGACAAGGAGGTGGCAGAGTCAGATGTGAACTCGGACTTGTCTCTCTGTCTGACTGGCTGAATGCTGCTGTTGACTGCAGGGTGCCAACCTGGGACGCCTGCTATGGAGGAACGGTGGGAAACAGATGCCCAGCCAGCAGGGATGAAGCTGCCTGCTGCACTGAACTGAGAGCTGGGGCTGCAGGCAGGCGCAGCAGCTCACGATGGTGCAATCTTGGCCAAATCTTGGTTTGTTAAGCCTTGGTTTCCCCATCTGTGTCATGGTCATCATCATACATACTTTGCAAATTTCTTCTTTTACTAAATCTGCTAAAACTAGCCACATTCCTCATAGCCACGGTCAGGACTCTTCTTCTCTCCAGACTTCATTTTCTGCTTTCCCAGAAGCCCCAGCCTGGCCCCCTCAGCATCACAGACACCCTCACTCTGCTTCCTACTTAAGGCCCCTCTGCCTCCAGCTAACACATGCAGATGGGGAGTAACTTCCTCTGTTCCCTGGAGTTAGTTCCTCCATCACCTACAACCTCCTGGATGTCAAGTCCCGAAGCCTCTCACATCTTTCATCCTGCCAGCCCACTCACCCTGCAGGCCAGGCCCTACCTTGCTGCATAAGGGTATGATCTGGCTCTGCCTCATACCGGCCAGCTTTGTGACCACACACAGCCCTTTTCTCTCTCAGAGCCTCAGTTTGTACATCTGTAAAGTGTGGACATAGTGCTGAGCTTGTGGAGTTTATGTGAGCACTGGAAAGAGATGCAAAAGTGTGGAACAAGCATCATCATGGCACACAGCAAAGACTTGTGCCCAGCCTTGAGTGCTTCCTCTTTAAGTCTTAGAATCAGGCAGACCTGGGTTTGAACTCCAGCTCTGCCTTCCACTAACCCTGTGGACTTGGGCAGGCAACATAATCTCTCTTACTTTGTTTTCCTTTATGTCAAATGTTGGTAAAAATGCCACCTCTCTTATTAGCTGTCATGAGGATTATTTGAGAGAGTGTTTGAGGCGGTGGATGCTGTAGGGCTCACCGTAGCCTTGGTTCTCCTCCTTTTCCCAAGTACACATATAGACTGCATTTCCCAGCCTCCCTTGCAGTTAAGTGAGGGTCTTCTGATGCAGTTCTGGCCAAGGGAAGGTGGGCCTGCCTCTTAACAAACTCCTACACAATTCTCCATGCCCTTTCTTCCCTCCCCTATCAGCTAGATGCAAATATCTAGGGATCTAATGCCCTCAAGCCCTAATTCTCAAAGCATACCCTGTGGATCAGCAGCATCTCCCAGGTACATGTCAGAAATGCAAATTCAACACACCCTTGCTGTCCCACAGATAAGCTACTGAGTTGGGGGGGGGGGGGGTCGCTTTTTTTTTTTTTTTTTTTTTTTTTTTGAGATGGAGTTTTGCTCTTGTTACCCAGGCTGCAGTGCAATGGCACAATCTTGGCTCACTGCAATCTCTGCCTCCTGGGTTCAAGGAATTCTCCTGCCTCAGCCTCCCGAGTAGCTGGGACTACAGGCACCCACCACCATATCCAGCTAACTTTTTTGTATTTTTAGTAGAGACAGAGTTTCACCATGTTGACCAGGATGGTCTTGATCTCTTGACCTCATGATTTATCCACCTTGGTGGGAGTTGCTTGTTATAGCAGCTAGCCTGACTATGCAATATTTAAAGTAGTTGGCACAGACTAGGTACTGAAAAGTTGGAGTCTATTATTACAGAGGTGATCACAACTCTTTCCTTCTCCCTCGAGGTTTAGCATGAGAGTTTCGGAGAACATTAAGGAGCCAGAGTGCAATGGCAAGGATGGGACAGGAAGCCATGCACTGGGGAGCGCTTGCATTCAATAACAAACTCTGTCTGCATTGCAGCTGCTAGGGGTAGGCGGTGGAGGGATATTGCCCACAGTAAATGACCTCCCCAGGCAAGGTGGCAGGAAGCCGGAGACAGGCATCAGCTCAGCATCCTCCAATTAGCTGCCATCTCTGACCCCATCAGGCTGGAGGAAGTGCTGGCACTTACCAGCACTCAGGCCCACCTGCCTGGAGGGCTGGCAGCCTCAGCAGCTGGGGTGGCGGCACCTGAAGGTCTCGGCCTAACAGAGCCTCACTTATTCCAGAGATCTGCAAAGGGTTAGTGGGTGGGAGGCTGGGAGGTGGGGAGGAAGTATCAGGGAGCAATCACATGACGTCAGGCTGACCTCTCAGCCCAGCCCTGGGGGCAGACATGCCACGTGTGGCCAGGCCAGACCTTATTTTCTTGGAGTTCTGGGGAAGGGACTGCTCCAAAAGTTGGAAAAATCTCTACTTTCCAGGAGCTGTCTGTGAGGTTTCAGGGAAGAATGCCAATCGCTATGGTTGGAATGGTTAGAGAGCATTTGCAGTCCATTACAATGCCCCAGGCCACCGGAACACCTGGGACTATCCATGTGACCCTCCCCACTCCTGATTAGCATCATGGAACACATTTATTGATTGCACACTAACACCTGGAATGGCGCTAAGCATTCCATGGGCATCATCTCATTTGCAACCCAGGATATCACTCTCCCTGTGTTACGGATGGGGAAACAGGCACAGTGAGGAGCAGCCACCTGCCTTGGTTGACTCCTGGGTGAAATGGTAAGGTTGAGATGTGAGTTAAATGGGCTGATTCTGAGGACCCCATTCTGTACTTTTTAAAAAAATGGTGGTAAAACTGACATAACATAAAATTTGCTATTTAAAATATCTTATGTGTACACTTCAGTGACATTAAGTGCATTCACATTGCTGTGCACTCAAGGTGCCCCATCCATTTCCAGAACTTTTTCATCACCCCAAATTGAAACTCTATCAATTAAACATGCACTTTTCATTCCCCTTTCCCCCAGTCCCTTTCAATGACCATTCCACTTTGTCCCGATGAATTTATAAGGGACCTCTTATAAGTAGAATCATACAGTATTCATCGTTGCGTGCCTGGCTTATTTCACTTAGCATTACATCCCCAAGGTTCATCTGTGTTGTAACATACATTAGAATTTCCTTTTCAAGGTTGCGTAATATTCCACTGTGTATATAGACCACATTTTGTTCATCCATGCACAGGTTGATGGACATTTGGGTTGTTTCCACCTTTTGCCTATTGTGAATCATGCTGCTATGAATGTTTCTGTACAAGTATCTGTTCAAATCCCCGCATTCTGTATTTTGGGGTGTATAGCTAGAAGTAATTATTGGGTCAAGTGATAATTCCATGTTTAAGTTTTTGAGGAACCTCCACACTGGTTTCCTCAGCAGCTGCACCTTTTTGCATTCCCACCAGCAATGCACAGGGCAGGCCGGATTCTTAACCACCACACTCTCCTTCCTCTCTGAGCAGCCTGCATTTGTCCCGCCCTGGAGGAGAGGCAAAGACTAAAAAGCCATCCCTTTACCAAGGGGGCTCACATCCTGGTAAGTGTAACACCTTGTCTTTATAATGCAATATCTGGGTGAAGCCTCACGGCCGTGGGAGGCAGACCATTTAGCACTGTTATCCTTGTTTTACAGAGGAATAAGGTGATACAGAGGAATGATGTCGTGCTGCCCAAGGTTACTCTTTCCATGGTCCCATCTGGGACAGTGGAGGTCACCAGGATGTACCTTGTCGACCCCGTTCTGCAGACCATAGATAATGCACCTATGGTAGCCCCAACTGCCGGGCTGAGCCGAGGCCACGCCCCCAGAGAAAGCTCCCAGCCAATGAGTGCACATGTAGGGGCTCTAAGGAGGGCCTGCCCATTCCTAGGAGACCCAGGGCTCCCAGCATGGTTGACCTGGGTATGAGGATGCCCCATCATCATTGTTCTTGTATCAATACTGTCCACCCATAGCCTTCTCTCCTCCTTTTCCTGTCACTCAAGGTCAAGGTCTGATAACTCTTCCAGCCTGGTCAGGCTTCCTCTTTGTTTTCCTTCTCATTGGCATTTCCTCTAATAAAATCCCTGAATGTTTAATCCTGTCTTAGTCTGCTTTTGGAGAATTTGGACTAATGCATTGAACTTATGGAGGTTCAGTCACCTCTTTTTAAAGGGGACGAAACTCAGGACCAAGGACAAAAAGAATGTCCAAAGTCAGGCCAGGCACAGTGGCTCACAACTGTAATTCCAGCACTTTGGGAGGCTGAGGTGGCTGGATCATGAGGTCAGGAGTTTGAGACCAGCATGAACCACATGGTGAAACCCTGTCTCTACTAAAAATACAAAAATTAGCCAGGCGTTTTGGCACGTGCCTGTAGTCCCAGTTACTCGGGAGGATGAGGCAGGAGAATCACTGGAACCAAGAAGGAGGAGGTTGCAATGAGCTGAGATAATAACACTGCGCTCCAGCCTGGGAAACAGCACGAGATTCTGTCTCAAAAAAAAAAAAAAAGAAAAGAAAAGAATGCCTAAGGTCAGTGGGGGAAATGGCAGCAGAGCTGGGATCGGAATTTCGTCTCCTGACTCACTCAGATAAAGCTTGGTGTGGTGCATGATCTGACACGACGTTGGGGAGGAGTTTCAGGATGATAGGGTATTCAGAGGGGAAACTAGGGAGCTGGTTGTGGGACAGTCTGGGGGAAGGGTTAGTGCAGGGTCCCGACAGAGGGAAGGGTTAGTGCAGGGTCCCAGGGCAAGAGTGGCCCTGCAGTGTTTAATGGAAGTAGACTGGGTCTCCTATAAGGTTCATGAGGGATAGGGGTGCCGGGAGTCAAGAGGTGATGTCAGTGGGGAGGACAGGGCTGCTGCCCTAGACCCAGGCAGGAGTTCAGATTTTTTTCTAAATGGAGTGGGGCCCCATTTGAATGCTTTAAGTTGAAGCCTGCTGTGACCCAACTTACATTTTGAAGCCACTCTGGCCATCATGGGAAGGATGCACAGAGAGAATGCTGCACCTGTTATGAGCCTGGTGCTCACTTCTAAATAAGGAAGCCGGATCAGGGTCAGGAGGCTGCTGCTGTGCCCAGGTGAGAGAGACAGCTTTGGCTTAGGCCTTGCAGAGTGAGATGCAACGGTCAAACTGCAGAGGGAATGCTAGGAGAATTACACTGTGTGGAACTGGATGATGGAGCCAATGATGAGGTGTGGCGGGGGGGTGTGGATAAAGAATCTGAGTGTCCCAGGTTTCTTGGCTGCTTGTGTATTCACTAAGAAATGGTCATTGAGACTTTACACTTCCAGAAACTCTGTGGGATACTGACATAGAAAGGGCTTCTCTGATCAAAAGCTGCATGTAGTGACTCACACCTGTAGTCCCAGCACCTTGGGAGGCCGAGGCAGGAGGATCACTTGAGCCCAGAATTTCAAGACCAGCCTGGGTAAGGTGAGATCCTGTCTCTATGAAAAATATATTAAAAATTAGCTGGGCATGGGAGTGTCACCTGGACTCTGAGCTACTCAGGAGGCCGAGATGAGAGGATCGCTCATATAGGAGGTTGAGGTTGCAGTGAGCTATTGCATTCCAGCCCGGTGACAGAGAGATACCTCTCTCTCTCTCTCTCTCTCTCTCTCTCCTCTCTCTCTCCTCTCTCTCCCTCTCTCTCTCTCTCTCTCTCTCTCTCTCTCTCTCTCTCTCTCTCTCTCTCTCCTCTCTCTCTCCTCTCTCTCCCTCTCTCTCTCTCTCTCTCTCACACACACACACACACACACACACAATTTTAAAAAGCTGTATAATTTCACATCAAAACAAAGAAAGGGTCACAATAAGAGTGCAAAACAGAAGGTACAAGTTCTAGTTAATAAATTTTACCTAAAAGTCCTGAAAACTAGTAATTTTTTTCCAAAAAGCTATTTTTGTGCTTACAGTTTAAATACCTGGGGTTGAACTCAGGATGGGTCTCTTACTTGCTGTGTGACCTTAGGCAAGTCACTGCACCTCTCTGAGCCCCAGTGTCCCCTCTGTAATTAGAAGCAATAATGTCTTCTTCTCGGAGGTGTTGTGAGGAATAATTAAGATATGTGTTCCAGGACAGAACCTGTATCTAGACAACTTTTAAAAACCGAATGCATGTTATACATACATTCCTATGTTTATCATATTTGTATATTACTTTCAATATATAAATGTATGTTTTCAAAAATAGATAACCAGCATTGTGATTTCACTGATGTTATTACTTAATGTGAGGTTAAAGAAAAAATACTAGTATTTCAGGTGATACAGGGATATTATGAAAATGGAAAGGTGAGTTCATCAACAGCCAAGCTTTGGGAAGCACCGAGATCATGGATGCAAATGAGTTTAGCGACTCTGGACGCTCAGTGGGTGCTCCAGAAATGCTGGTTAAATGGATGTCTTTGGAGAAAGCATGAGCAAGAGGCGCCCTGGCCGTTTTTCAGTGGACTTCTGCAGTATCTCCGTCCTCAGCTTCCTCCCCTCTTTTCCCTCCCCTTCCCTCCCCTCCCCTCCAGTGCCCCCCCCCCCCCAGTCTTTACAAGTTTATCAAGACTAGTCTGCCCCCATCAGGGCTCTGGGCAGGTCCCTGAAGAAGATTAAACAAGATGAATATTTCATAGCCCTTGACTGACAACTGCCAAGGACCTGTTGTGGGTCTGGCGCCCACATCTAGTTAAGGAAGGGGGGCGGGCAGAGGGGAGGAGGAGGAAAAGCCCATAGACTGAGCCATTGATCCGCTGGGTCCAATCTGCACTGATGAAACGCTCAGCTCCCAGCTCCCAAGCCAAAGGCAGCAAGTAATGGGTTTTAAGAGGCACAAGGCCAGTGGTAGCCTGGCCACCCAGCCCCCTTGGGGCCCACAGAGGCACCACCAGGCCCCCAAAGACCCATTTCTCTGTCTCCAGCTGTGGTCCCTCTGTCCTCATGGTGCCAGCCCAGTCCTTTTAACAAGCTGAACTCATTGTTTCCGACGCCTCCAACTCATTACCCCATTAAGGCCTGACGCCAGGCTCCTTTCACAGGGGGACCCAGATGACAGGGTGGCAAGGCGCCGCTCTGTCTGGGGACTCTGAGGAGGTAGGCAAAGACCCCAGGTAGCCTCGAAGAAATCCCATGGAGACAGCTGTGACAATGTGGAATCCTCTCTTCCATCTGCTCCTTGAACTCTGAGACTGGGGTTAGAGTAGTTCTTCCAGTGAAGCTGAAATACGGATTATTACTCTTCTTACCTCAGCTGTTCCTACAGCCAAAGCTACTGAGGCCACTTAACCCCACCTCTCAATGGAGGTGATGGATATGGAGGATGCCTTCTAGTATCTTGCTCTAGCAGAGAAGAAAGAATGTGTTTGGTGCTCCAGGGTTTTAAATAACTGGTGACAATAAAATGCAAGCAGGGGCATTGCACTTTGTGCTGTTAAGAGTGTGACCTGGTGCATTCATTTCCTTTGGCTGCTGTTACTAAAAACAATTTGCTACAAATTCAGTGGCTCAAAACAACATGCAATGATTACCTTGTAGTTCTGGATAACAGAAATCCAAAGTGGGTGTCACTGGTTAAAACCTAGAGCTTCTGGAAGCTCTAGGGTGAATCCACTCCTTGCCTTTTACAGTTTCTAGAGGCAGCCTGCATGCCTCTGCTTGTGGCTCCTTCCTCCACCTCAAGGCCGGCAGCGTAGCATCTTCAAATCTCTCTCCGACTCAGCTTTTACACTCATACTCCTTTCTCTGACTCTTTGAAGGACCCTTGCAATTTCATGGGGATAATCCAGGGTAATCACCCCATTTTAAGATTCTTAATCACATCTGCAAAATCTCTTTTGCTCTATGACCTAGCGTATGCACATGTTGCAGGGACGAGGATGCAGACGTTTTTGGAGTGCCGTAATTTGACCGATCATTCATGGCCTTGAACAGACTTTCTCTGACTCTGTTACTTGTTAATAACTCTATGACCTTTAGTAAGAACTTCATCTCTCTGAGGTTCAGCCTCTGCAAACTGGGGGCTGTAAGAGATGGCTTCTTGGGTCACTGGCAGATCAAATAATACAAATGAAAGATCTGGCATTTCTAGGTGACTTGATGTTCAATGAACTTTTATTATTTGGTGGGCATTGGTAATCCAACCTGAACAAGATAGCCATTCCCTGCCCTGGGGTGGAGTTACAGAGTTATGGTCTTAATGGAGAGTGAGCTTTCTAATGTTTAAATTTTCTCTATGCAAGCTTTTGTCCAAAAAGGTGAGTCGATTTGGTGGGCATTGTTCAGACTGAAGAGTGGATGGATGACCTGTTGGCCTGGTACTGCCTCCATCACCCAATTCCCTCTCCAAACCCTTGGTGGTACCCAAAGTGAAACCATGGAGCTAGTCATTTCTGAGGCTCAGCTTTCTCATGTATAAAATAGGTAGGATACAGCCTCCCTTGTAGGGTTACTGAGAGAGCTGGAAGTAACCCACGTAGGGTACCTGACGTTATGCATAGGCTAAGTGCATAACGTCTGAGTGCAGGTGCCATCAGAACCTCTACAAGGTCTCTTTCTCTCAACTCTAACCCTGACTCTGCCTTTTGAGAGTTTTTCTCAAATCCGGAACCAGCTGTAGAAGCTATAGACTTCAAGAAAACCACACATTTGGGACTTTCTTCTCAAACTCCACTGGGGCTTGTCTTAAAGTTCCTTAACATTTGACTTCTCCAGAAGCTATCCTGGCTTTGTATTGTGCCACAGTGAACGCCAAACCCCCTAGTCCATGAGCCTGGAGCAAAGAAAAAGATAGATCTGGAGAGAAAAGTACTTGTCTTCCTGAAGGAGCAGATCTTGAGTTCAACAGTAAGAGGGTATGAGCTTTTCCTTTACTCAGTTCTGGAAGAAGGACATGAATGAAAATGAGCACCATGTTCTTTTCCCATCTCTGCATTCTCACCTCAGAGATGTCCTTGGGTCACCACGACCTTTCAGGGTGGTTCAGGGGAGAAGCTGTTAGAATGGGAAGCTGGCTGCCTGCATGCAAACCTCTGCTCTGGGCTCCTTGGCTGTGTGTCCTTGGGCAAGTAACATCCCCTCTCTGAGCCTGAGGGGTTCTGAGCCTGAGAGTCCTGATTGCAACAGGTAGAAAGATCTCCTGGAACAATGAGTGCAAGGGCTTAGCTCAGTATCTGACCTCCATCAATTATGTTCAATAACTAGAAGCAATTACTTATTATTAGCCGTCAACCAAAGAAAGCATGAAAAGTAAAATATGATGTTAAGTAGCTCCCAGTGCGAAAGAAATACCAGGGGTTGTTTGCAACGATGCCTTGCACAGAGAGAGCAAACACAGCTTGAATCCTAACTTTCATAGAGAAGAGAGAACTCCCATCCTTTCCATCTTCAACTCTCCGAGAATCTCCTGGATCCTCAGGTTAGAGACACTTAAGGAAACTCAGAAGGAGAAATCTGAGCCCAGCCCCAGCTCTGCTCTTCTTGCCAGACCATCAGTCTTGGGCTTATCTGTGCTGTGGACGGGAGGCAGTGACAATTGGAGTGTACTTGTCCTCTGGCCCTAAGCTCTTGCCTGTGTCCAGGTGACTCTTGACCTCTGTGGGTACTGCAAGGCATTAGAAGGAACAGAGGAAGAAAAGAAGAAAATACAGAATTGGAGCAGCCTGTAAGTTATAGGATAGCATCACCTATTTAATGTCAATTAGTGTTTTTAACAACCAATCGCTGTGTCATTAACTTACAATAGCAACCTTGGGGGCAAGCCAGCACGCTCCCGCAGACTAGCATGGGCAGCCGGTTGGTGCTGGGTGTGCAAAGCAGACTCAGATTACAGACTGATTGCAAGTTGGCATTGCTTGAGCAGGGTGCAGGTGGCCAGGGAGCGGGGAAGAGGGTGCCTGAGGAGCAAGGCATTTCACTAAGTGCATATTTATAGCAGGGCTCTTGGAATAAATGATCCAAGGAGAGGGCAGGAGGGGTGAGGTTGCTGGAGGCTGGCCAAGCCTTGGGTGCTGGATCCTGCCAAGCTGCAATTGCAGTGGCTTGGTTCACCCCAGAAGCCTGGCTGCCCAGTGGTGGGGAAGACAGGGAATGCTTGTTAGGGTATCAAGTGGGGGCAATTTCACTTCTCAGCTTCTACACTCCTAAATATGGACTTTGAATCAATTGTTCATTTTCTGCAACCTTTTATTTCTTTAATGTTAAAATGTCATGATGGTCCAATAGAGAGTGAGCACCATGAACTTCATTTGGGTGTCTTTTTTTATTTTTATTTTTTGTAGAGACAGGGGCTCACTACGTTAGCCAGACAGGTTTTGAACTCCCAAGCTTAAGCTATCCTCCCACCTCAGCCTCCTGTAGTAGCTGGGACTACAGGCGCAAACCAACACGGCCTGCTGTTTTTTCTAAATTTTGTAGATATGGGGTCTTGCTATGTTGCCCAGGCTCATTTCAAACTTTTATCCTCAAGCGAGCTTCCTGCGTCAGCCTTCCA